GCTTGGGTGGTTCGTTGTAAATTTTAACTCTCTGAAATAGGGCTCATCAATATTGAGGCCAGACAGGGTTTGATGTGAGCCCAGGTTCCACATCTACTTAGATTCTCTAAGGTTGAGATTTCAGTGGGTGGGTTGGGAGGGGGCGGGTGAAAGGACATCATCTTCATCATCATCATTCTTCTTCTAGTCCATTGGTTTGGCTACCGAACTGGTATTCTTCTTTTATATTATGGCGCCTGTCCATTCTCTACAGCACATGTGTCAAACACAACGCCAACAGGGCACATTCTGCTCGTCGAAGGCGCACGAGAGAAGCGTAGGTAGTCTATTCTGAGAATCTTCAAAGAGCAGAAATTTACTACAAACATAAAGGAAGTTGTTGCTCAGAAGAGATGCCACAATCCAGCTCTTGATATATGACATAAGGGCGAAAATTGGTGTACCCTGATGATAACTTTGGTATGTTTTAGTTCTTACTGTCATTTAAAAATTAATTAGCTATTGCTCAAGGTGTATTGATTTTGGTCCTCAACAGTTAGTGTGTCATGCTATTGGGCCTCTGTGTTACTGAGTTAGGCACCCCTGCCTTACAGCATGCTCTGTGCAGTTTACAACCCTACTAAAAATAAAAATGATAATAAAAGATAATCGAAAGCTTTTGTTTAGGGTAAATTCCCCGCTCAACAGCAAGGTGTATGCGCTGTACAATCCACTCTTACCCCAGCAGACCTGATAGCATTCTGAAACAATCTCAACTTCATGGGAAGCATACAGTGCAAGCTGCAATTAATAGGCACTAAAGCACTAACATCCTGACAAGATCTTTCGCTGTCTATAGCTAGGTACCCATTCCCATCTATCTGCCTGAAGTGAGGAAAACTCGTGTGAAGTGCCTGTCCCATGGACACTCTCAACTTAACATCATACGTACCTTGCTTCTATTTAAATGGTCTATTTTCGCCGGATTCGAAGCCATGCTTTTGCTCCTAGCTGTCAATTGACATTTTTAATTTATTATTTGAAGACTAGGCACTGCTGAAGTGAAAATATTCAACGTACATTGCGAAACAAATTAGGGCAACTGTAACGGTGCATTTCAACATGTTCGCCGTGGCTATACCGTTATATTGGTTACACATACGCTGGCTCGAGATCGTATTGTGGTTTAATTTACAAGATTTCATACAGACTAACATTCATGCAGCAGCAGGACTTCCCATCAGAAACAACAACACTTCACATAGTGATAATACGTACTGATTTAATCCACATTACTAATCGAGAGAGCAGATAGATGATCTTTTGACTTAAAAAACAGTAACACTTGGGCAACTACAGGCCAGGCATTGCTTACTATTAGTATTACTTCCCTCGCTAGAGTTGAAATCGAACGGACAAAATCTAGCTGCCAGAGACAGTAGCACCAACAACTGAACCTGTTCAATCACTTGCGTTCTTGCCAAATAAGTCCCAAGGCCTACAGGGGTCACTGGAAAACGACTATGTGTGTTGGCTATATATATAATTTAGTTGTTATTCTATCTCTTATTACCTCTCTCACAACTCTTAATTTCTTGCTGTATGCTACATGGTCGTACGACCGTTCCAGCCTTCCCTCCAGTTATCCTAGTTCATCTGTCTCCTTTTTTCCACTCTAGGCTTTTTCGTTTCTACTATCTACTCTTCTACTCTGTCCATGTTTTCGGACCTTCAGTTTCTAAGGCTCTGGTGTCATAACGATCCCGCTCTGATGCGTTCATACCTCCATAGTTCCGTTCTGCGTGACAGATATCTTCTTCCCTCTGTTCCCAATAGTGTATGGGCTTTGAACATGCCAAACCTTTGTATTCTCTATCATTAACGTTCTCCATCGTTTCTCTGTATGTTTTGACAGGGTCTTTTTTTTAAATCACGGAATTAATTTAACAGATTTTGGAACCATAGGATCTTGCAAATCTCCACCCCCATGTTAAGATTCCTTGCTCTACCGGATGCTGCCCTGGGCAGGGGGGTCCAGGACAATAATTATGCCTAACGTAACGTAAGGTGGCCTCACTTTATTACACAACATGTTCAATGGCAGCTCTATCAACTTCATAGCGAGATGTGAGGGGTCCCGTACTCAACTGGGTCATGTTTACGAAAACGGAACAATTGACTGGGAGAGAATGAGACAGACTCGAAGCATCTAAGTAAATTATTTTACATGTACAAGAAGATAAAAAAATAAAATAACGAAAAAAATAAAACAAGAAAACACACAAAATAGGCGGATGAATGGAAGAGAAGAAAAAAAGTAGTAGTAGTAGTAGTAGTAGTAGTAGTAGTAGTAGTAGTAGTAGTAGTAGCAAGGTACATACCTTAGCTCAAAAACTGCACCGTGGCCAGTGTACGCCACAGTCTCGCTTATTATATGCACACTGGCTGAGTTGTGTCGATTGGTTAGGGTTAGGGATGGGTTAGGGCTAGAGTTAAGATTTGGGTTAGGTTAGAGTTAGGGTTTCGGGGAAGGGCTAGGGTTAGAGTTTGGGTTATGTTTAAGTTAAGATTGAAGTTAAGGTTGTTTGATTGTCGTAGACTAGGGGCTGTCAAGAGGAGCAGTTGTCAGATATATCCGGTGGTAGACCGTAAAGTAGAACAGAAACATCGCGAGAGACGGCCAAGTGAACAGGCATCAACTGTGCTGTAAGTGATATGGGTTAAACTTCCCTATCAACAATATTAGGGTATTATTATTATGAAGAGGAGCCTCCGAATTTAGCGTCCGCCTCTGAAAAGACCGAGCCCAAAGGGCTGAGAGCGTTGAAAAACTCAACATTGCGGCCCGAATTTTGAGATTCAAACCAGGGCCATTCTCTCCGTAGTCAAGCTTGAAACTATAATAATATTGTGCACTGTGAAGATCAGCAGTATCGTGGTTGCAAGTTTATTTGTATTGATGTGGTAATGTACAAAATATGTCTTTGATGAATTATTACAGATTTGTGTTGTGCTTACTTTTGTAATTCAAATGCCCACACGTGCATTGGTAAAATTTTAATTTGAATTTTTATCTAAGTTTTTGTAATATCGAACTGACAGTAAGATTCATTATAGCTTTTGTTTTCAAACCCAAAACATAATTATGGTGTTGGTCTTCCGTTCGGAGAAAAAATGTCAGATGTTACTTTGAACGATGTTTGTCGGGTGCTCATATGTGGTTTGCTCCTTCTTTTCTATCACATATGTATCGTTCTTATAACTGAGCCCTCTTTCATATTGCGTTTGTTACTCTCTTGTAATACCTCTAATCTTCAGCACATATATAACCTATAAGTTGTGTTACAAGTGCCATAAAACTCTTTCAAAATCACAAAACAAACGAACGAAGGAGAAAATACATCGTCTGTTTTCGGATGGATTCGAACCTCTCTTCCTGCTATGTCGCCACACCCGTCATTGCAGTGCTCATAGCTTTCTGGCTATTCTTGGGCAATCACTCCAGAAACTACCTATCAAGTCCATTAAAACCCTCATCTTCACTACTTCTATGTCAAGTCAAGACTACTGCAATTCTCTTTTTGGAAACCTTCCCGCTGATATGACAATACATAATATGTAACAGTGCTTCCAGAATCAAGCTACGATGTTAACACAGCTGCATGGGATCCTTGTGAAAGAGCGTAATCAGAACAAATGTCCTTTGTTGTAAGTGCGTCAATATAATTGCACCATTATATCTTTGCGACATGGTTATCAAATGCATGCCAAATACCATCTCAAGCCTTTAAGATAGGCCAATAAACGACTATTTCAGAAAAACATGTCCAGAGTGGAAGTCAGATACTCGGAAGGGGCTCTCGTGGCCAAGAGGTCAAGGTGTTTGCCTCTCATTCAAAAGGTCTCAAGTTCGAATCCAGATAGCGACTGAAAATTTATTTCTTTAAAATAATTGTCCTCCTTCACCTCCTTTCCTGCTCTCTGTCGTCTGATTTTGTCTCCACTTTCTGCCCCCTCCCCCTTACTTCCTTTGCCCCCTCTCTGGGCTCCTGGCTCTTTCTGCAGCATTTTTTCTGCTACTCATACTTCAACAAAGATATTTGAAGGCAATAATCTCAAAACATGGTGAAAACAATAATCGCCAAACACGGGAGAGGCTGAGTGAAGTTTCTCGTATTATTCATTTATAGATTGATTATTCCTGGCTTATATTTTCATATCAACAATTAGTGCTGCCCTTGTCTGGGGTAAATACAACTCTTTCACATATCGGGGTAATCAGCTTCACCCCACTCTGTCCACTCTACTCGGCGTCTATCTGCCTCCCACTTCTTGAGCCTGCTTCACAAGCGCGGAGAGCGAGGGTGCTTTTGATGGATAGGAGCTCGTCATATCCGGTTATCTTGAACATGAAATTTTCGGAAGGTGCAGAGGCGATGGCCTCCAACTCCTGGTCGTCTACATAAGGGCCCACTCCTGGAGATGGAAATGGTATATCATTTGCATTTGTGGTAAACCTGCCACCATTCTTTGGGGGGAAATCGGTTGGTGGGTTGGGAGGGGGCGGGTGAAAGGATTTCTTTCTCCATAGCAATGGGGGAGGGCGTTATGTCTCCATAAAAAGGATTATTTTTTAAAATTGAAAATTTTGCCCTCTAGTTGGGGCACAGCAGAAGCCATAAGTCATCCTTTAATTCTTTTACTATGTTTACTTTGCTTGTGAAATATTCTCCTTTGCAGATATGTTGGTCATCGTCACACACTGACTTTCGAGCTATTATTATCATTTTTATTTTGTTTTTATTTAGGTTGTTGTTGTGGTGGTTATGTTTTGTTTGTTGTTGTTTTTTGCTGTTGATGTTGTTGTTTTTTTGCAGGGGGGGGGGGGGGGGT